TATACACCAATACCCCTCATGAACATAGAATGCAAACATTCTCAACAAATTTCTAGCCAATAGAATTTAACAATATATTTGAAAAAGAAAAAAGAAATGATGACCAAGTAGAATTCATTCCAGCTAGGCAAGGATGGCTCAATATTAGAGAAAAAAAAAAATCAACATAATACACCACATAAATAAAGAAAAGTGATCATATGGATCGATGCAGGAAAGGCATTTGACAAATCCAAAACCCATTCCTAAGAAAAATGCTCAACAAAATAACAATAGAAGGAAAATTCTTTACCATAATTGAAGGCATATATACAAAACCAACAGTCAGCATTACTCTGAACAGAGAGAAACTGAAAGCATTCCCCTTGCAGATGGGAGCTAGGCAAGGATGCCCTTTATCACCACTCCAGCGTAGTGGTTACAAATTGGGCTGCGAACCTTAAGGTCAGCAGTTCGAAACTACTAGCACTCCATGGGAGAAAGATGAGGCTTTCTGCTCTCGTAAAGACTTACAGCCTCGGAAACCCTGTACAGGGTCGCTATGGGTCGGAACTGACTCAACAGCACTTAACAACAACAACTTAATATAGTGCTGGAAGTCCTAGTAAGATCTATAAGGCAAGAAAGGGAAGTTAGAGACATCAAAATTGGCAAACAAGAAGTAAAACTCTCTACAGATGATATGATCCTATACATAGAAAATCTGACTTGGCAAGAAAATTATTGGAACTTATTGAAAGATTCAGCAAACAAGACAGAGTACAAGGCCAACATACAAAAATCAGTCAGATTCCTTTACACTTGTTGTTAAGTGCCATCAATTTGGTTCTGACCCATAGCAACCCTGTATAGGGTTTCCAAGAAGCGGCTGGTGAGCTTGAACCACCGACCTCACGGTTCAAACCGACTTTGCAGTCCATCGCATTAACCCACAGTGCCACACGAGGACTCCTTTACCCTAATACAGCTCTGAAAAGAAAATCAGGAAAGCAGCAGTTTCTGCAACAGTCACCCAAAAGATGAAATACTTAGAAATAGCTAACCTAAGAAACAAAAGACCTATACAAAGAAAATTGCAAAACACTACTATAAGAACCCAAAAGAGGAAAAAGGAAGACTTAACTCTGTGACAACGTCAACACTACTCAAAGTAATCTATAGATATAATGCAATCCCAATTCATATTCCAACAACCTTCTTTAAAGAGATGGAAAAAGTAATCACTAACTTTATATAGAAAGGAAAGAGACCCCAGATAAGAAAAGCATTACTAATGAAGAGAAACAAAGTAAGAGATCTCTCACTTCCTGATCTTTAAAACCTACTATACAGCCACAGGAGTCCTAGTGTGGCACTGTGGGTTAATGCGTCAGACTGCAAAGCCGTTTGAACTGCAAGGTTGGCAGTTCAAGCTCACCAGCTGCTCCTCCGCAACCCTTACAGGGTCGCTATGGGTCAGAATTGACTCGACGGCACTTTACAACAGCAACAACATACAGCCACAGCATACAAATAGCCTGGTACTGGTACAAGGAAAGACACATAGATGAACGGAACAGAATTGTGAACCCATCCACCTATAGAATCTTGGGTGGCACTGTTGGGTAAACACTGGACTGCTAACCGCAAGACTGGTGATTCAAACCCACCAGTTGCTTCTCCAAAAGACTGTACAGGGTCACTGTGAGTTGGAACTGACTTGACAGCACTTAACAATAATAATCAACTGATCTTTAACAAAGGGCCAAACCACATTAAATGGGTAAGAGATCCTCTCTTCAACAAATGGTGCTGAAAAAGCTGGAAATCTATTTGCAAAAGAATTAAACAAGACCTGTAGTAGTTACAAATCAGGCTGCTAACCTCAAGGTCTGCAGTTTGAAACTACCAGCTGTTCCGCGGGAGAAAGAGGAGGCTTTCTGCTCCCGTAAAGATTTGCAGCCTCAGAAACCCTGTGCAGGGTCACTATGAATCGGAACCGACTCCACGGTACTTAACAACAACAACAACAAATATATCACACCATATATAGGACCATAGTCTCAGGGGGCACCATGGTCATTTGGTATGACATAGTCCACAAAGACAATGTTCTACATTCTGCTTGGGTGAGCAGTATCTGGGATCTTGAAAGTTCACGAGTGGTCGTCTGGGGTGCAGCTGTTGGTTTCTCCATGTGCAGAAGAAAGAAGAGCTATAAGAATTGAAGAGGCTTGGAATCAATTAGTCCTCTGGACTAATGGAACATGTAAACAGCAGTCTCCACAACTCTGAGACTGGAAGAAATGGATGATGCCCAGCTACCACTGCCAAGTGCCCTGAGAGGGATTGAGTTAGAGAGTTCCAAATAGAGTGGGAGAAAATGTGGAACAAAACTCAAAATAATTTAACTAAAAGAAAAAAAGACTGGGTTTACTGATCAGAAAGAGACTGGTGGAGACTGAGATGTTGGTCCTTGATCACCCTTTGGGTCTGGAAGGGAGCTCACCCTTGTGGCCCAATTTTCAGCCAAGCAGTAGATAGGTTTATAGTGGGTGACAATAACACTAGCAGGGCGTACTCACAATGGAATGGTCAATCATTCGGGATCAAAAGGACAACATTTGTCTGGGGACAAAGTTGAGAAGGAGTAGGGAGTGGGTGGAGAGTAAGTAGGAACCACAGGGAAGAAGAAGTGGGATGGCTGTTGTTGCATTGAGGGACTTGTAAGTATGGAGAGGAAACAAAGTATAGGACTCATTGGTTATAAGGCCCATGAGCTTGTCTCTAAGCCTTTACTCAATTCACAATAAAAATTTAAAAAGAAATCAAATGACATATTGCACTGGGCAAATCTGCTGTGAAAATGTTAAAGAACAAAGAAGTCACTTTGAAGACAAAAGTGAGCCTGACCCAACCCAGGTCATTTTCAATAGCCTTATATGCATGTTTACATTGGACAGTGAATAAGGAAGACTGTAGAAGAATCAATGCATTTGAATTAATGGTGTTTGTGAAGAATATTGAAAGTACCATGGACTTCCAGAAGAACAAACAAATCTATCTTGGAAGAAGTACAGCTAGAATTCTCCTTAGAAGCAAGGATGGTGAGATTTCGTCTCTTGTGCTTTGGACATGTTGTCAGGAGGGACCAGTCCCTGAAGAAGAACATCATTTTTGGTACAGTGGAAGGTCAGCAAAAAAGAGGAAGACCCCCAGTAAGATGGCTGACACAATGGCAGCAACAGTGGGTTCAAACAAAATAACTATTTTGAGGATGGCATAGGATGTGGCAGTGTTTTGTTCTGTTGTGCTTAGAGTTGTTATGAGTTGGAACCGACTCGATGGCACCTAACAACATGACAAATGTAGTCTGTGGCATCCTTTGTTTCTTTCTGTCCCTTCTCCTCAATTGAAAAGATTTTATCTGTATTTTTTATACTATATTTAGGCAGAAATTTGTTTGATCCATACAAGTTAATTACATGTATCCCCATCAATTCCATCTAATGGATTTTGGTACTTTATTCCAATCTGTAGAAGTAGCCCTTGACTCTTGAGTCTGTAATTTATGAATTTAAATCATTCATACAAGTTTGTGGCCATTCCCACATGTGGTGAGTTTGCTGGTAGATTTTTTATATCCAAATCTGTCATTTAGATGATGATCCCAACAGGATCAGTGTCACCAGAAGCCCTCATCCTGTTTGACCTTTAGCTGCTCATCAGCATAGTTGGCATGGAAATTCAGCACCCTACAAATCTACTTTATCAGACAACTTGCTGAAATCTAAATACATCGTTGCTGAATTTCCCGTAATTCTAGGACCTTGGGAAAAATCAGGCAGAATTGTAAGATTCTGGTATCTTTTATGTTTTTTTGTTTTTTAATGACCATCTGTATGATTTTAGCAAGTAGCTTTCTCATCCGTAAAATAGGAATTATTATACTTGCCCAGAGGGTCACTGTGAGAAAGACAAATAAATAATATACATAAGATGTTGGAGGATCTTATTTATTGTAGCTGGAACTACAATAAATGGTGGTGGTGGCTGTGTGCCTGGGAGTCGGTTCTGACTCATAGCAAGCCTGTGTAGGGTTTCCAAGTCTGTAAATCTTTATGGGAACAGAAAGCCTCATCTTTCTTCCTCAGAACAGCTGGTAGTTTTAAACTGCTAAACTTGAGATTAGCTGACCGATTCGTAACCACTATGCTACCAGAGCTCCTTAAAATAAATTTTAACTATCATTACTGTTGTTAAGTGCAGTGGAGTCATTTCTGACTCATAGTTACCTGGGATAGGGTTTCCAAGGAGTGCATGGTGGATTTGAATCGCTGGTCTTAAGATTAGCAGCTCAGTGCTTATCCTACAGCACCATTGTTGTTCAGTGCCGCAGAGTCAGTTCTGACTCACAGCATCCCTGTATAGGGTTTCTGAGGAGAAGCTAGTGGGTTTGAACCGCTGACCTTGTGGTTAGTAATCTAGGCTTAGCCTACAGCACCCCATCAAGACTCCATTAGATCCCATCAAACAAAAGTCTGGAACAGTCTCGTTCTTAGCAGTTCTCATTTCTTTTGAGTCACTGCTCCTCATTGTTTGTGCTCATAAGCCACCCGTTAAATGCAAAATGTTGGTGAAAATGAACCTCAAGTTGCTATGGCATAGAATGCAGAATGGTCTTACTTTCTCTTTTCTTCTACTCATAGTGAGTGACCCTGTATAATGTTTTCGAGGAGCAGTTGGTGAGTTTGAACTTCTGATCTTATGGTTTGCAGTCCAGTGTTGATGCTACAGCACCAAACCAGGAGTTGTTAGGAATTATATGAAAGGGTAAAGTCCTATTGCCAGAACCAAATGAACCAAAGTTTACAATGGATGAGTTGCAATGAAGCCTTCAGGGTGAATCTTCTGTTATTTACATGTAATTGTATGTCTTTTAAAAAAATTAATGTAGGTATAATGCCTAGCAGTTGAACAGAATTTATGGTAAGTAATCAGTTTCATTAATGTCTTTCTAGGGAAGAAATTCTTATATTGTGAGCCACATAAAAGAATTAAGGAAGTGCTGGAAGAAGAACTTTATATTAAGAGAGACGAATGTCACATTAAAAATCCACCTGCAGGTAATCTCATTGACTAATGAACTGTATTTGTGAAATGAATGGGAAATTACTTATTTGATGGCAGAATAATTGTTTTATTTATTAAAAACTGCATATCAAAAGAAAGACGGGTTCTTAGGAAGTTATTGAGCTATTTTTGTCATTTTTTTGTCTGTGTCCAAGTAGGAATCCTGGTTTGACACTGAAGGATAAGCTCTGGACTTCTAACCATGAGGTTGATGGTTCAAATCTACCAGCCACTCTTGGAACCCTATACAGAGTCACTATGAGTCAGACCTAACTGGACAGCACACAACCGTAACAATAATGTCCAAATAAGTCATTATATTTAGAGGGGAAAAGGAGCTAGATGCCAGTGTCTACGTTTCTGTCCCACTTTTTTTGGTGGGGTTATATCATTTAATCATTAAGCAGAATATTTTCCAAGTGCTTGAAAAACACAGTAACATTTCAGTCTTTAACAAAGTAGGTATGCTGAAGGGCAGAGGTTCCAAACTTAATTCAAGGTGGGAGCTTGCTAAAAACAACCCCATGGTCTTCATTCCAAAGTCTAGGGCCCAAGATTTTGAATTTCTAACAAGTTCCCAAGTAATGGTAATGCTACCGGTCCAGGAAACAAACATTATGAATCACTGACCTAGAAGCATCCAAGCCACTTAATAGGTCAAATCATCCAAATATTTGCTCTAGAAATCCCAGGATCCCTCAGAGATGTTACTTGGAAACTACTTGTTGTCGGTAGTCCCACTGAAACATTGCCAGGTCCTGCACTATCCTCACTAGAGCTGGTATGTTTGAACCCAGCTATTCTATCAATCCAGAGAGTATGATGGCTTTGTAGGATAAGCACTAGGCTGTGAACCACAAGGTTGGCAGTTCGAGCCCAGCAGCTGCTCAGCAGGAGAAAGATGAGACTTTCTCCTCAAGAAAAGATTTTAAAAGTATTGGAAATCCTATACAGGATTGCTATGAATTGCAACTGATTCCATGGCACTCAACAACAACATTATATCAATCCATCTCATGGGCAGGTTCCCTCATTTGTGCTGACCCTGTACTGTACCAAGCATGATGTCCTCCTCATTTTCATGGTCCTTTCTCAGCAATTGCAAGATGCATATTTAACGCTCATCAAATCACCAGATTTTTATTGCAAGCCTCTTGGTTGATAGCAGCTGCTGATTAAAATGAAAGAATTGCTAAGACACAATTCCTATGCTTAAGAGATCATGGTATTTTTCATGGAAGAGGAGTTGAACTGCACACAGGTAAGGACTGAATTTGTGAGGGATCCCTACAAGCAGAAGCTGCAGACCCAGAAAGTATCCATGCAGACTCTATGATGTACACATATGTCATAGAATTTGCACTTTCAAATCAGTCATACCAGTGTCTTTTGGGCCTTCTTATATCACCTACTTTTGCAAAAGGAAAGACCAGCAAACAGGCCAAAGTTTTAAAGTCTGGTTTGGACTCTATGAAACGATGCTGAATGACCTACTCAATTGCTGTAGCCAAACTCAGCCTACATGTACTGTTTCTCTGGTGGTTACAAAGTCTATGCAGAAAACAAACTCGATGCCATCTAGTTAATTCTGACTCATAGGGACCCTTTAGGACAAGGTAGAACTGCTCCCTAAAGGTTTCTAACATGGAAGCCAACAGCCTCTATCTTTCATCTGATGAGTGGCTTGTGGATTTGAACTGTTGATCTTGTGGTTAGCAGCCCAACATGTAATCCACTATACCAACACACAAAGAAAACTAACAAATACCAAACCTAACCCACTGCCATTGCGTTGATTCCAACCCATAGTGACCGGGTATAGGGTTTCTGAGGCTGTAAATCTTTACGGGGGGAGCAGACAGCCTCATCTTTCTCCCGAGGAGCAGCTGGTGATTTTGAACTGGTAAGGCTGAACTGCTGACCTTGCGTTAACAGTCTGCTGTGAATCCTACAGCACCACACCACCAGAGTTCCTGTAAGAAGTCTGTACAGTACTGTTATATTCACAGTTTGTCTTTATTGCTTGAAAAAAGCACATCAGACCTGATTTACACATTAGCTGTGTGTTGTATAAAGAACCCTGGTAGTACAGTGGGTTAAGCACTTGGCTGCTAATCACAAGGTCAGAAGTTTGAACCCACCTGTTGCTCAGCAGGAAAAAGATGAGGTTGTTTGCTCCCATTTTGGAAGTTCTATGGAGCATTTCTATCCTGTCCTATAGGACTGCTTGCTATGAATCAGAATCAACTCAGGAGCATGGATTTGGTTTGGTTGGTTTATATGTTGTCGTATTCATATTGAGTGCATTTGAGAAGTTGATAGGAAATATCATTTGGTTAATAATTTTTTTTTTTTAAGTAACATTTTCAAATATCTTTCATGTAAAATGGGTGAAAGTTGGTTGGTTGAATCCACCAGCTGCTCTTTGGGAGAAGGATATGGCAGTTTGCTTCCACAAAGACTACACAGCCTTAGAAATCCTATAAGGCAGTTCTACTCTGACCTATAGAGTGGCTGAGTTGAAGTGAACTTTTGACTGCAGTGTTCTTGTGGTTTTATTTTTAATTGATGAATGCCTGGACTGCATTTTTATAACATCCACTAGAGGTCGAACCATCCTTCGTCTGTCAGTGTGCTTTACTGCAGTGGCTTATGAGATGCTGTGATTCTGGAAGCTATACCACAGGTATTTTAAATACCAGCTGGGTCAAATGCAACATTTGACCTACTGAATGGCTCTCCCCTTACTCCTCATTCCTACCTCAACTTCCTTGATACCAAATTGTTTTGTGCTCCTTTTACTTCCTTGGGTATTGTTTCTGACCCTCCTTTAGTGACTTTTTCACTCAGCCACCTCCCTCAAATACTGATGTTTATTAGGGTCTGTACCATCTTCCAATATTGTTCCATGTGTTCTCTCTGGAGCAGCTCATCTACTTACATAGTTTCCACAACCACCTCAGTCAGATGACTTTGAAATCTGTTTCAAATGCCAAACCTCTCTTCTTGTATATCCCATGAGCACTCAAGATGTTGTGTTGTTATGTGCCATCGAGTCGGTTCCGACCCATAGCGACCCTGTATAGGGTTTCCGAGGGTGTAAATCTTTACGGGAGTAGAAAGCCTCATCTTTCTCCCACGGAGCAGCTGGTAGTTTCGAACCGCTGACCTTAAGATTCGCAGCCCGATTCGTAACCACTATGCTACCAGAGCACTCAAGATAGACACATCCAAATGAAACTCCTACTTCTCCCCCATGTACTTTTTCCTCTACATCACCCATCCAAACGAACGGCTTAGCCTAGTTTCTAAGCTCAAAACCAGAGGGGCATTCTCCAGACCACCATGGCCCATATCTAATCCATATGTGAGGCCTATTTTAATTCAGCTCATTACCAAATTGTTGACTCACATGTCAGGTTTATCTTGTAGGCTTGTTTATTTCTTCATACTGCATTTGTTTAACTATCTAAACCAATGGCCAACATTGAAAAATCAGTACGTTTTACATTAAATCTAGATTTCTAGATGCTCTTGGGGGACATACTAAAAGAAGACCTAACAACCCCAGATTTGTATTTGACAACAGTCACTGGAGTTGAGGACTGCTGACCTGCCCATTCCAGTGTTCATCATCATACCAAGATCCCCACTCAACGTTGGGGAGAGGATATTACAAACCAGCTGACATTTATGTTCACATATCCACTGTGGACTTTCTCTTCTCATGGTAAAAATAGGAAAATTATTTCTGGTGTGGTACTGTAGGATAATCACTGTACTGCTAACAGCTAGGCTGGTGGTTCTAACCCAATACAGAGTTCAGAAACCCTACATAGGGTTGCTATGAATTGGAACCTACTCAAGGGTACTTAACAACAACAACAGTGCCTCCAGCAAAAGTCAAAAATAGAAAAAGGTTGTTGTCACTGTTTTGTCGAGTCAATTCCAACTCATAGTAATTCTATAGGAAAGGTAGAACTGCCTCATTGAGTTTCTCAAGCTGTAGTCTTGATTGCCAGGTCTTTTTCCCTGTTGAACAGCTGGTAGGTTTGAACCAACAACCTTCCAGTTCATAGCCAAGTGCCCCACCAGGAATCTTAGAAAACTGACAGCCAGCCAATCATCTCTTACCCCTGGAATGCTTTATTGTTGTGGCTGTTAGGTGCTATCTAGTCAGTTCTGACTCCCAGCAATCCTGGGCACAACAGAATGAAACTCTTCCAGGTCCTTTGCCACCCTCACAATGCTTAAACCCACTCTTGATGCCACTGTGTCAGTCCATCTCATTGGGGGGTCTTCCTTTTTGTCATGGACTCTCCACTTTACCAAGTGTGAAGTCCTTCTTTTGGGACTGGTCCTTCTTGATAATATGTTCGAAGTATGAGCGATGAAGTCTTGCCATCCTGTGTTCTAAGGAGCATTCGGTTGTACTTCTTCCAACACAGATTTGTTTGTTCTTCTGGCAGTCCTTGGTACTTTTAATATTCTTCTCCAACACCATAACTCAAATGCATCATTCTTCTCTGGTCTTCTTTATTGACTGTCCAACTTTCACATTCATAAGTTTGGTTTGAACTGCAGTCCAGTGCTGATCCAACAATGCCACACCAGGAGTGTATGAATTAGTGGAGTTAAATTCTTTCTGTGCTATTTTTCTTCACCTGTGATTGGATGAAATTGGTGCATGAATCACCAGGATTAGGAGGATTCCAGAAGTTTGGCTTTATGAAGGTTTAGCAGAGTGAGCATTACATTTCTTTGTGCATATCGTTGTATGGGTAGCAATAGGTGCTGTTTGGGGCCCTCGACTGAATGAGCTGCCCCACCTGTTCTTGAGATCATTCATGATTGTAGTTAACAGAGATTGTGTAGTCCTCAAGGCAGCCAAGTTGCCCCAGGTGGTTGTTATGTATACCCTGTACTTGGGTCTAGGGAATTGTATCAGTGAAAACAGGAAAAATGGGTTGCCAACCACCCCTCCCTTCTTTGG